CCAATTAAAATGTTTATATAAAATAAAAAATATCAATCAATACAAATAAAAAAAAGTACCTCTGGTTAGTTATTAACGCTTCTTCTTTAGGAGACCCAAACCAAACCAAACAACAACGTTCACGTTTTGTTACCCTGGACTGTCAAAAAATAAATTGTTTTTTGTTTTTCCAAAAAAAAAAAAAAAACATCAATTCGCGTCTGTCCTACCAAAAAAAAAAACCAATAGGGATAAATAATTAGCTTGTACACGTTTGTCGATCATAACAAAACTTTTATTTTAAAATGTCTAAGACTAGCACGAATAAAAGAAATAGAAACCAAAATAAAGAACAACACGGGTAAGTGTTTTAAGGATGGTGGTGGTGGTTATCGCCCGCCACTTGCCGTCACTCTAGTTATATAAATTAACATGGTTATTTACATTAATTATTATTGTTTGTTTCTTAGAAGAAAAAACGAGGAGCCAAACGAACCATTAATATCGTCGTTTGAACCTCGTTTTCATCGACTATCTTTCGAAAATCCTGAAACTTTAACTAAAGAAATCCTTTTCCTAATTGGAAAGAGTAAAGGAGTGAAAATCGAAAATATAAAAGAAGTAGAGGAAAAAGAAAAGGATGCGATGTTCCTTCTTGAAGCTTCTTTGAATACGATTTTTTCTGCCTTTACCAATAGCAACACTACTATGTTAATCGATCCGCAATTATTACCCTCACCGCTAGAAGACATTAATTATATCAATAATGCTAATAATGGTTACGAATATGAGGATTTATTAAATCATGATATTTCACAAATTCCTTCTTTTGATCAACATTTCATTTCTTCTCGTTCTCCTTTTCGTTCTCGTTCTCGCTCTCGCTCTCCTTCTTCTCCTTCTCGTTCTCTTCCTTCTTCTTCTCCTTCTCGTTCTACTTCTCGTTCTTCTCCTTCTCCTTCTCGTCCTACTTCTCGTTCTCCTTCTTCTTCTTCTCATTCTCCTTCTCGTTCTACTTCTCGTTCTACTTCTTCTCCTTTTCCTTCTCGTTCTCGTTCTCCTTCTTCTCCTTCTTCTTATCGTTCTCCTTTTCCTTCTCGTTCTCGTTCTCCTTCTTCTCCTTCTTCTTATCGTTCTCCTTCTCGTTCTCCCTCTCGTTCTCCTTCTTCTCCTTCTTATCGCTCTCCTTATCGTTCTACTTCTTCTCCTTCTTCTTCTCGTGTTCGTCGTTGTAACAACGATTTTGCAATTAGTAAGGCACCATTAAGGCGCCTTATAAAAGAAATTGCAAAAAGTATCAAACCCGGGATAAGGTTTCGGGCCGGCGTAATGGATAAAATCCAAGAGGTACACTTTTTGACTAAAAAATAAAAATTTTTTTTGATGCTAATAAGTATTAATCATTATAATATTTTCAAAACAGTCGTCAGAGAAACAACTACGATATCTCTTTAGAGATGCGTATGTATAAAAAAATTAATTTTAAAAAATTAATTTTAAAAAAATATTTTATTAATTATCTTCTTTTTATTAATTATTGCAGAAATTTATGCGCATCTCATGCAAACAGGACGACATTGATGCCAATAGACCTCGAATTCGCATCACAATTTCGTAACAGGATTAGAATCGAAATTCTATCGGATTAATCAGGTTATTAAAATCATTTTATGAATCTTGTTACTAGATATATTGCTTATAAAAAATATTAAAATATATTAATATGATTTAATTATTATATTATATATAGATTTATTAATATACATCGTTAATATTTATTGAAGCAATTAAAAAAATTTCATATCAAATTTAGAAATCTCTAATTTTCAGTTCTTTTGAAAAACAAAAAAAAATCGGAAAATTTTATTAATATAATCACTGCACATAATAATTTATACATAAGTCCATATTTTTTTTCTGAGTTTTACAGAAATATGATTGTATTCAGAAGATGCATATTATCAAAACTACTGAGGTAGATATTGCAGTAAGCAGGGAGCAGTCACTGGTATCACCAAATCTACTTTATTAAAATAAACATTTATTATATATAGTAACTAGCTAAGATATGTAGAAATATTCAATCTTTAGAGATAGGTAATTTTCTTAACAATTTAAAGGATGACAACCTTAATAATGATAGTCTAGCTCAACTTATTGAAGCTCAAAATCAAATCAAAGAATTATACATTTTTTTAAAAAATTATATAGTTTTTTCTGATAAATTAATAAATGCAGTTTCAAAACATTCAAATTCAATAATCGACTACAAAAGTATTGGAAAGAGTAATTTAGATCTTCTATTAGTACAGAAATTTCAAAACCTAGAGTATCTAAACTTAAAAAGTAATAAAAATGTAAAACCTTTTTTATATACTACATTTCGAAATCAAGAAGAACTTGAAATATCAAGTTCTGAGAATTCATTTCTTTTAGAATTGATAAATTTTATTAAAAAGAATGGAAAATATCTTAAAGATTTGTCAATTAAAAGATATGCAGCTGATGAAATAGACTGGCCAAAAATGGTTCAATCAATTGGACAAAGCTGTCAACGCCTAGAATATTTGTCAATAAATTATAGAAATGAATTAGACCAACAATTAGCTTGCATATTAAACAATTGTAAAAGATTGAAACATATTACATTCACAAACAATTATAGGAATTATGTATTTAATGGTGATAAAATATTCCAAGTATTAAATCAAACATTACCAAAAAATCTAAACTCCATTTCTTTTCAAAAAAAACCAACTTTTTCCAACAATGGTTCTTTGGATCTTTTAATGGATAATTGGAAAGGACCCAAACCTTTTAAATTGAAATTTACATTAAAAAATTCATCAGAAATAGTTAAACTAGAAATATTAAAAAGATATCAAGATCTAGGATTTATTAATTATGAAATTAAGTATAGACCAAATACATATTACTACTGGCTTTAAAACACTTTCAGGAACTTGCAGAGGATCTATTTGATGAAGATATTGATTGTAAAATTATCAAGTTCTGCCATATAATGAACGTTATATATATTACATATAATTTCTAAAATTTATTATTTATTTTATATATATAATATGTAGCTGAATTCGAAGAAATTTACTCAACAGCAGATAAATTAATTAATCATTATATTGCATGAGCAATTATTATAATTAATATACATTTGTTTCTATTTCATAACAATAGTTTAATATTTTTATTAACTTTAATTTTTAAAATCATCCATTCATTATAATAAAGAAAGTATTTAAAATCAAATTCTTTCTATAATTCCACAAAAATCTTCTTTGATTGTACCAATTGCAAACTAAAAATAACAATAATAATTATATTTTTTTCCAATGATATTAAAAATATTATATCTTTATTAACTTACAATATCAGTTGCGTCAAACCTTGTTCCAACTATTTTGATCCTTACATGACTGCCTTTTTCTAGCACTGTCTGTTTAAATAAATAAACAATAAATTTTTTTCAAAAGAAAAAAAAAAGATTTTAAAAAAATATAACAAATACAAATTGCAATACATTTTCATTTTCAACAAAAGCTGGTGGATTCCGACTTGAGTCAAATGTAAGATCTTGAGGAATTAACTAAATATTACAGAATAACATACATATAATTAGAATTATCAAATAACTAATATATAATTGTTATAAGAATACATACATGACTAGACACAAAAATTTGTAAAGGACCCACATCTGCAAAAAATCCCATCTAAATATATAAAAGGTTTACACACAATAAAAGTCACACAAATCATATTAAATAAATAATAATAACAGAGAACACCAATATCTATTACTTACTTTATTAACTTGACTGACTATAGCATCAACCACTTCTCCTTTAAAAGGTTTATAAACAACAGCTCTATAATTTACCTCAAATTCAGCTATTCCATGTGAAGGTATAACTTTTCCATTAGAAATGTCTAAACTTTCTATAGTATCTAACACACAAATCACATAACCAAATCTTCCTGAACATTTTCCTTCAACATCTGCATATAACCTTGCAGCTAAATAATTATTAAAATTTTGTGTGAAAAATGAAGGATGTAGTTGAATTGTGTGTGTTAATTTTTTCTAGATAAAAAATGAAGAAAATTAAAAAGATTATTCTTATGATGAAGCAAAGTGAATAATAAATTTATATTACATACTATAAAGAACATTTTTTTTGACATTATTTTTTTTCCAATTAAGGGTGGTATTTATTGATTGTTACACACAATCTTATTTTTGATCATGTGAATTTTGTTTGACACTTTATACTAGTGTCAACACATAGTTCAAATGCATCTGTGTCTTTCATTAATTAAGTTGCTTGAATATTTTTTATGAAACAAAGAAATGATTTTATTTTAAATTTATTTAAAAAAAGATGCTGAATAATTAAAATCTTTATGTAGTGAATGTTGAAAAAAATATTCTGAAAAACAGTACATTTTCTATTTTTTCTGTACAGAAAATGTCCTGAATTTTACAGTAACAGGGAAAGGGCATTTTTCCAATACACTTTTTCCATAAAAATGTACTGAAAGTGTATGGAATGGGTACTGGGAAAATGTATTAGATTACTAGTAATTACTATTAATATGTACAGAATGTGATTTTTCATGTATTTTCCAGGCAGAATTGCACAGATAAGCTGTTGAATTAGGTTTGGAAACTAGTACTTTGGTTGCAAATCTTGTCAAGTTTGTTTGGTATTAACCATGTAAATTTTGTTGTCTGATTGATTTGGAAATTTATTATAAGCCAATATATAGTAGAGATTGTTTGGAAAAGAATACATACATACACTACCTAGACAAAGTATTTGATCACATGTTTACATTAATTAGTAAATAATAATCTACATAACAATATCACACAAAATTTATACTATTATGCAGCCTAGTTTTGATAAATATATATTCGAAATTTCACATTGCTAGTTTTCATGTATCAAATTTAATAAAAATTTTCAAAAAAGTCTTATTTTTCATGATTATAAAAATTGAAATTATTTATTAAATGGAGGCATGCCGCAACAAAACCAGACAAAGTGAACATTGGTATTACCAAGGATTTCAGGGATCAAAATTTAGTCATTTGTAATGTGATCATAAATAATTAACAGTTTTATAATATCCCATTTGTTATCTTAAGTGATATATATAACTATCCCTATATAAAAATAGTTAATATGAAACTCATTTACATCAGATCTACTACTATGGAACCCAAGAATTATAGTACTATCAGAAGTATTTTAAAAAATGAACAAGGTGAAAACATTGCACCTTCTATTTTTAAATTGAACTTTTTTTATCATATAGTAAAGAACTTTTTTTATAAATAATACAAATAAATCGATACATGTTGTAGTATTTTGAAACTAACCAATTGTTACTATTGATTATAGATGATCTGCGCCGTATTTTTCCAGACTTTATGGCATGCAATAATTATTATTATTCGGCAATTTTACCTGATTATGCAATATTACGCAAATTGCATAAAATCGTCCCTGAATATGGAACAACAATAACAACAATTACAGTAAATCTTACAAATCATTTCTGATTTATAAATTATTCCATTCATTATTGTTACTAATCATTACTAATACATTTCCTGTCATTTTTTATTAAAAAAAATTTTATATATAAACAGATATCTTCGATTTTTAAAAAAGTTTTTAACTAAAACAAATAACAACAACAACGGGTTAATTAATAATAAAACAAAAAGCATTGACATAAATTTCGTCTAATTACATCCATTCCAAATTAAATCTAAAAAAAATGACAATTATAAACAATCATATCAACGAAACTGCCATTTCATTACTTAAGAGCGATCCCCAACTTTCATCTGGCCAAGTAAAAATCGATACAAATAAATATGGAAAATTAGCAACCGAAGAAGCAATCGCAACAACTAAGAAGGCATTAGAAACCAAAGGTCATCAAGTTACTGTGTTGAATACAGGCGAAGAAGCACATGAATTTTTGAAAAAATTGATTCCTGCAAATGCCTCGATTAATAACGCACATTCCACCACGTTGGAAGAAATTGGATTTATCGAATATTTGAAAACAGCAAAAGAATGGGTTAACATTCATGCAGAAATTTTGGCTGAAAAAGACATGGCAAAGCAAAGTGAAATACGTAGACTCAAAGGTTACAATGTTGATTATTATTTGTCTTCTGCTTCTGCTATTACCGAAGATGGTGTAATCGTAAGTATGTTTCTATAAATAAATGTAAATGATTGTTATTATGGGAATTATTACTCATATATTATTGTTATTATTTTAAAACAGGTTGGAGTTGATGCAAGCGGTAGCCGGGTTGCAGCATGGATAGATTCAGCTAAGACTCTTGTAATTGTATCTGGTACAAATAAAATCGTAAAAGACGTTAATGAAGCAGAAGAACGTGTAACAAAATACGCTTATGAACTTGAATCAGCACGTGTGAGATTGGCTTATGGAATTCCTGCCAGCCAAATTGCTAATTATGTCTCGATTAAGAATGCTAATCCTTTCAGTCCAATAAAACGTGTCCATGTTGTATTCATTAAAGAAGTCTTGGGATATTAAAGGGAGAAGGAAATGTACATATTCTAATTGTTTTAATTTGTTACTTTAGCTGTTGATTTTAGATCAATATTTATTTTGTTGTTTGAAATTATTATTGTAAAAAATAAAATTATTTGATGTACAAAAATTTATATCAATGGTTTTGGGTATTATGCGTATAAAACATAAATTACGTTCAAATTACCAGATGTCGAAGAATTTTTATTTAATTTGCATATATACAAATATACTTTTAGAACTTTCTTCAAGTTATATGCTGACCCTATTCCCCTGTGGAGAAAGCATCAAGTATAAACTTGCTCCTTAACTTAAACTATCCCCAACATGTTTGCCATGAATTTAAATCTAAAAAAGAAAATCTAAAATATCCAAACCTCTAATTCTTCAAATGCTTTGCTCGATTGGGTTTTTCGAAAACGGGTCTCTACAAGTGTTCAATCAGATTCAGGTCAGGAGACTGGCTTGACCAACTTTTGGTTTTAACCATGCTTTAACTTTTTAGCGTCATAAATAGATCGGTGTATTGTCCACATTATCTCGATTATTAGAAATTAAGAGATAAGATTGGAATATTTCAACGTAATTGTGATGATTGATTGATTTTTCCGGGAAAGCAGGCCCAAAACATTACACTACCACTTCCACATTCGACTATAGATCAATATTAAACCTTTCTCCAAGTGCAAGTGTCCTCCAAACACGACCTGGGCCATTATTTTTAAATGAGGCGAACACACCTTTATCACTCTATATTAAGTTCCTATCTTCCAATTTTTTCTTTTATTGTGCCCAAACGACTTTCACTAATTAGAAGTTTACAAGGCTTCTTTTTTGACTATGAATAAAAACTTGCAAGCCTGTTTTCCAATCGAATTTGGTTTTTACTTCAACTGGCTCGTGGTTATTTTCATTTCCTATCCGCCTCGAGGTAAGTTTGAAACATTACTTCTCTCTTCGTAATTCTGTATATGTGGTTAGAAACACTGTAGTTCTAGAAAAGCCAAGAATTTTTACTTTCGACCCATCATCTTTATGGAAACCAATAATCTGGCTATGTTCAATTTCAATTAAAAAAAAAGTAAAACAAAAACACATCAAAAAAAATAATATCAGATCATCGCATCTAAAGATTTTGATACATGTTATTCGTTATATAGGCCTTAGAGCAATTATTAAAAAACTTTACATCAAATGTTATTTTATTGTGTAATTAGAGAATACCTGAAACTTTTGCTACAGTGCTGCTGTATGCTCAGATACTTTCTTTGCTAAGAATAAAAACGGTTTCTTTTTTAAATATTGATAACTTGACTAAAAGCATACTGTATATAAGCATAATCTGTCTAAGAGCATATAATTTTCTTGGCCCAAGTTGGGCCATATGTGTTATACTGCATACTGTGTATAAAGCAATAAAAAATTCTAAACTTAATAACTTAATAGATAAACACAGACATACATAAGCATCAACAAAAATTCTGTCACATCTTTTATTTTTAATATTAGGACTTTTAGAGATGATTCAATCAAAAGACCAAAAATAACATATACAGAAGCCATTAATATGCTAAATCCTTGCAGAACGTTTTTTTCCTTCAACAAGATGAGGATTGTAACAGGGTACTTAAAAATATTGAACTCCAAAAAAGGATAGTACTACTATTAAAACAAATATCACAATCTTTCAATCCTTTTAAGAAAAACATTAAATTATTTTTCAATGAAAAGAAAATTTTTAAACGATATAAAGAAACATGTGAAAGAACACGGATGAAACCTGTTTTTTAAAAAATTCCAACAAATGAATGTTTTTTGGTTTTATTAATATCATGTTATTAATATTATCCAATAATATTTGCTACTTAACAGATTAACCCATTATTATTCCGGATGAAAAAAATCCTAACGGGTTCAAATATACCATAACATAATTATAATCAATTTTTAATTCTCTTCTAATTCATTTTTTTCTTGATCATCTTCAGCAGTATCAATTAATTTTTCAGTCTTTTTAATTGCTCTTTCCACTTTTTTCTTAACGGGCCCATAGCGTTAATCCGTTAACAATCCGGATCGCAATACTAATATAGCTGAACTCTTTATCGAAGAATACTTATCACGCGATTAATATTGTAAATATTATGTTGTGAATTTGCCTCGAGTTTTGCATCTATCATTCTTAGATCAGTGTTTACGAGACGTGTATTATATTCAAAGATATCATTCGATCTATGAGTATTTTGTGCATAAAAATGAAATCTTGCCACAGAGGATTGTAATTAAATTCGATTCATAACAGATTTTAAAATTTTGCTTCACATATAAAAATATATAATATCCCGTTATGACGAGATTAGTAGTTTGGCATAATGAGTTATTATTATTATTATTATTATTATTATATGTCATGTGCATCCATTGAGACAAGATTTGACTATATGAGAAATTAAATTAGCCAGCCAAAAGGAATGCTGAACCCTTCCTTCGCTGAATGAACGCTGAATAGATCAACAATCCAATACCTCGCTTTGTATTTTACATTTTCAATAACAAACACCTTGTTTATAAAATAACAATCAATCTAAATTTTTATATAAAAGCTATATATATATAATATAATAATCCACAGTCATCCTAAGCAAAAAACCATGTTTTAAAAAGATAAGTATTAAGCTACTCAATAATTCAACATTCAACGTTTGATCTTGAATTATTGAATACTTCCATACGATGCTTTTTCTTTTCATGGAACAACAAAATCATTTTTTGTAAAATCTAGTGGATAAATTTGTTACACCAATTTTAATTCTGTTTTTTTTTAATGAGAGAACATCTGAAAATTTTTTACCAAGTCAGTTAAATTGTGAAAGGTTTATCAGTTTACTAAGGGACAGATGGTCGTTTTCTTTTTGTGTGTAACTTATGTATGTACTTCATTGTTTTACAATTAATAAAATTATGTGACATTACCTCATCGTAACTAAGTCAGTTAAGATTATTTTGTGTAATAAAAAATACGATCTAAAAATTTTTTTCCCCAAAAAAATGAAAATGAATCGATTATTATTATCAACATCACAATCCTTTTCACCTTCAATATTACCAATTACAACACCAATAACTATTACCTCAATTATTAAACCAAAGCCCTTCAAACTAATAAATTCCAAATTAAATTTTCGAACAAAAATCATAATAAATCAACTTCCTAAAGAACAATCATTAATAATAAAAAATATCAATAATGATAAAAGATTTAATCCAAATAAAAATCATTTTTTATTTGATAGCTTTAGATTTTTTAATTCATCAAATTTAAATGGAAATGGTAAAAAAACAATGACAGCAAAATTTAAAGAATTAACTAAACAATATGGCACATCAGCCCTGGCTGTTTATTTTATTATTTCAACAATTGATTTAGGTGCTACGTTTATATTGATTCAATCAGGTGGAGCTGAAAGAGTTAAAAAAATAGAAAATTGGTGTATTGAAAATTTTGGTGGCTGGATTATTTTAAAAAGAAATAAACAAGATAATCAAGAAAATAATAATAATAATAATAATAATAATAATAATAATAATAATAATAATAATAATAATAAAGTTGTTAATAATACTTCCTTAAAACCAAAAATTCCTTCTTGGACAAGTACTTTAGTTATAGCATATGGTATCCATAAGCTTTTACTTCCACTTAGATTAGGTTTAACTGTAGCAATAACCCCATCTGTTGTAAAGAAATTAAGGAACATGGGTTGGAATATTGGTAAATCAATTTGAGTAAAAATTATGTGTGAAATTATTATTGTTATTATTAATGTGAATTAATGTGGCAGAATCAATACACAAACTTCATTTAATTGCTAATAATAAAAATATCTTAATAATTATACTGGTGATCATACCTTCTCACCAATGTTTTTGACACTTAACTTTATTAAGAAGATATCTATTCCTTTTATGGTTATTTGTCTAATCAAAACCACATAAATCTGCAGATAATAAAATTGTTATTGCAAAGATAGAAGATATAGAATAGGATAATACCAGAATCTACAGATTTTGGTAGGACAGTTTCTCTCTAATTATGTGTTTTATTTTTTACCATATACCAAGAAGTCGAATATTATGTCCAGATTTTGTTTTTGTTTCAATTTATTTCAATGCCATTATTTAACATCAACAGTTTTTATTCCATTCCCCATCAAAATTAACATCAACATCATATCATCTTTTTTATTATTATCATCTTTATTATCATTATTTTGTTAATGTTATCATTATCATCATCATCACTCACTCACTCACCCAATCTTTCATTAAGTTTTAGTTTAGATAGAATGATATCATTTTATCCTTCAATCAGTTCTTGATTATATTTATGAATAAAGCTCCATTCCAATCTTTAGGAAAGCCTTTTTTAAAGTTGTTGCATAATTCCAATGAAACCCCTAGTATAATGATATTGATAATAACAATGATTATGATAATAATGAAAATTTTTTCTTCAAAAAATTAACTTAAAATACTTAATGACCATCTATGTTAATGATGATAATCCTTATAATATATATAATAACTATTTTTTATTGTCCTTATCACATTCTTTCAATTATTAATGATGTGATGCTATATATTATAATTATATCTTTATTTAAATAATATATATATATATATTTGACAAAAAAAATTTATTAATATGGGCGGATTTTTGCGATGCCTGTGTGACATGATAAATACGAGTGACATACAATCACATGTAATATTTTACTCTGATTTTTTTTATTAAAAATTAGTTAACAAATCTAATTTCGACATGGGGATCCCAGAGACACGTTCCTACTACTATTGATGTTTTTAACAGTGTGTTAAGGAAAAAACGGCGGTGACAAAAAATAAATTTTTGAAAGTTTATTAAATTAAAAAAAATAGACATGAAAATGCTATTGCCAATTTTCTGTAAAACTAATTCATATCCTTTTTTTAAGACTTTGCTAAATTCTCGTCACTGAAATTTCAACACGGAATTTTTTAGTTCTGACACAAAATACATAATAATCATATAAAAATCACACCAGTTTGTAGAGAAAGCGATGGAGATTATATATATATATATAATTTCATACTTCCAGATTTTCTGGAATTTTATCAATTGGAAATAAAAGAAATTTGATTGTTTTGAAAAAACAATTCAATGTGTAAATTTCTTTAATAATTGCACTAAAGCCTACATAACAATATGCTTCGAAAATTTTATACGCTATCATCTAAGATCCGCTTTTTCACTAAAAAAAATGTTTTACAAACCGCCGTTTTTTTCTTAACACGCTGTATAACAATAATACAATAACGTTAATACTCTTACCGCGCCTACCTAGATTAGGCTTAAAAACCCTTTTTAATATAAGATGTCACATTTCTACCCAATCAAATAGAGAACGGGTCAGTTGGTGTAACTGAAGGTATGTTTATATATAATTTTAAATTTTGTTTGGGCATATCAAACCAAACTTTAACTATTCTACGCTAAATATGCATAGATAACTGCTCGGTAAGCCTCTCTTTATTTCTTAATAAATCGTTTGGAATTTGATTTGAATTGGTAGGTCAATAGCCAATGATTGAAATTTTAATTATTTCTCTTCATTTTTATTGGTTATGGTTCTTTGAAAATTTAATTATTATTATTATTATATTTTTGTATTCATTAGCAAAATTACGAGGATGACTACACAATACACAATGATCAGCTTCATCCTTTATATGTGAATGAATGTGTATTAATATTAATTATGCTCGTATATTTAACAATTAGATGTTACACGTTAATTATATTTCCAAGAAAAACCTTTTGTAGTTCTAAAACATATGAATGCAAGAGATTTTTTTTCTTTTTTTATATAACATATAAAAGTTTTATATGCGAGTGAGTAAATTAGTTCACATTTGGAAAACATTAAACTTTTTGTGGTGTGTTTATTGTAGTTGTGTGTCACATTTACCAATTAAATATTTATATATAGTTACAAAAATTTTTTTTTTGCTCTAAAAGTTTTTTTTGCATTTTTCCACCCTTCACAAAACAATTTTTTTAAAAATTACAATGACAACCACAGGCTCTGAAAAAGGTCAACGTTTAGCCAGAGCAACTTACCCTACCTTTTATAGAAACCGTTTACCCACCCTACAAGAAGTTCTCACAAGAAAAACAGCACCACCGGTATGCTTATATAATTATTATCTTTATATGAGAGATAGAGAACATGCCTCGGAATATTTAGATTTCTACCTTGATGTTTTGGAACATGAAATAGTATGTAAAGCTTATGTAAAAGATATAAAAAAACATGGAATGGATGTAAACACCATATATCCTGATTATGAAAAATATCAACCAGACAGTTTGAAAAAAAAAGAAAAAGATAAAAGATTTAGTACAACAAGTAGTGATGTTATTGGTATAAAAAGGAATTTAAGTGGCTCATCCAAGGTTTCCAGTGATGCATCATCATCATCCATAAGGGATGGAAATATTGGCATGTCATCATCATCACCACAACATCATGCAGTTGATATTCCACCAAACGAAAAACAAACGACAACAACAAATGATGCAAAACTTAAAATGAGAGATTCTATCCGTTCAAATAAAACAAATACTACTGGAAATTTTTCAATTCTTAGTAGGGATAGGCCATTCACAAGAGACGATTTACGAGATTCAGCAGAACGAATATTCTTTAAGTATATTAATCAAGGTTCAGAAAAACAACTAATGGTTCTGTCTGATCATGTAAGAGAAAAAATAACACATGCAATAGATGAAGAATCGGACACTAAATATAAAAGAGATGATCCTTGGATATTTCATGAAGCAAAAAAAGAAATATATTCATACATGGAACGAGAGCATTTTCCTAGATTTTTACAAGCAAGAGCGTTTAGTAATATGAACATTACACATATAATGTTAAGATTAGTAATAGGTCTTGTGTGTCTGTTGATTGGATTCGCTGTAGCATTAAGTTTAATTTTCTTGGATATAAAGCCAAATGCTGTTCGATTATGGGTAATTAATTAAAACACATTTCAAACCTTTATTAATTATTAATAATATTATCGCAACATTAACAATAAATTTTTTCTTACTTTCTTATTTACATACATACATATAGAGTTTTATACCTATATTTTTAGGAGTATTAAATATCATTGTTAATCAAACAGAACTTAGTCCTCTTTTTGTATTATTAAAAATAAGGTAATTACAATTTAGAGACAAAATTATTGTTCAATTACTTAATAGAAAATAATATATATACGTATATTTTTTTTTTTTTTTTTGTAGTGAAACAACACTTTTTAAATTTCAAAAAATACAAGAACCATATATTTATCAATTACATATAAAGAAAGGTATTCAAGTATTCTGTGCAAGTTTAATAATTTCAATCATAGTCACACTGATTTTTGTAGCGGTTCCTGGGCATAGATTATAGAATTATTTATATTCTGAAGTTTAAAGTTACAATATTATAATAGAAAAATATATTTTTAAAAAAACTTTTGTACATTAGATATATATAATTTACTCATGTACTTTTTTATGTTTAAAAACCCCATAATTTTTTAATTTAATTTTTTTAATATTTATATTAAATCTTTTTATTTTGGAAAAAAGCGCGTCATAGGAATAAATATTTCTCATTTATATACGAGTAATAAAGTTGCTTGTGAGAAAAAGAGTCAAGGTTTGACGCTAAAATTTTATATGATGTCATCTGAAGTCATATTACTATACCAAATGTTATTGGCTACCAAATACTTTTCTGTGAAAATCTAAAATTTTTTTACACAAATGGTCTCTGAATTTACTTTTAGAACAATGTATGATGGTTTATTACAAATTGGCTCACAAATATTATTTTTTGCATTTGGCTGGGTATTCCTCGTGAAAAAACTATTCAAAGATTATGAGTCTTCGACAGATCGACATGATGTTCAATTTGTTCAAGCAATATTTTCACTTACATTCAGTACAAGTTGCGCGTTATTTGAATTGATTATATTTGAAATTATGGATGTAATGCATAAAGAGTATAATTGTTTCCTTAATCCTATTTATTTTATCTATTTATTTTTATTTAATAAACAATATTATTAACGAAAACCTTTTCAATCAAAATTCTAGTACACGCTGGTTTTGTTGGAAATTGACATTATACACTCTATTATTTCTTGTGATGATACTCATTCCATTTTATCAGATCTATCTTTTAATAACTAATATGCAAGAGAGTTTGTAAATTATTTTTTTATATTATAATTGATATATATATATATATATTGCAGAAAAACATAACTAGGCTATTAACTAACAACATTATTTTTTTGGTAATAATTGAAATTTAAAGGATTATCAAAAAGATATTTAATAATAATATCAATAGTTTGTTGGTCATTACACTTTTACGGATTTTGGAAAGTGGGAGATTTCTTTCCAATTGAAAAAACCATAAATGTTCTAGAAAATGGTAAAATTTTATTAACTTTACAATATGATCAAATAAATTTACATTGTAATAATATTTTAATGAATATTTTAATAATTTATTTGACGTTTTAGATACATCTGAATATAATTCGGGTGATCCTTTTATACAATTTGGAATGAGTCGTGTTGGTGTATTAGGTGTTACTATTATGGCTATATTATCAGGTTTTGGTGCCGTTAATAGTCCATACGTCACTTTATTTTTCTTCTTGAGGTATTTTTTTTTTTATAATTTGAAATTTTAACATAAACAAATTTTTAACATATCTGTATTTATGTATAGACAAGTAACAGATTCTGATATTCAAATGGCAGAAAAAAAATACCTTCAAACTTTAGATATAATTATGAGTAAAAAGAAACGTATTTTAATAGCACAAAAAAGACAAAGAAATGTCAATGAAGTAATTATTTAATCGTTTGATTAATTTTTTGGAAGAAAAAAAAATTAATTAATTCTTATAATTCATAATTATAATAGCAAAGTTCAAAGGTTGGAGGATTCATGAGAAAAATGTTTAATACAGTTGCCAGTAATATCGGGATGGGTGGTGAGAGTATGTAAGTTTAATTTGTATTTTTGAAATAATTTATTGTTGATATGTGATTGTTTATTTATTTATTTTTATAAAAGATGTCAGTATCTTAAGACAAGAAATTACTGTACTTGAAAATTTAAGCCATCAATTGTTTTTGGATATTGATGATTTATATCAAGAAAGAGTAAATATAATACATATATATTTTTACACTTAATTAAAATACATTATTAATATTTAAAATTTTTTAGGATCGTCTTCAATATTCAAAAACTTGGCAAGGGAAATATTTTAATTATATGGGATACATATTCTCAGTATATTGTATTTATAAAATCGTTATGGTATGTAATTAACTAATCGATTTAATTCAATTATAGTAAAAACAAATTTTAAATTAACATCTTTATTTATTAAACTATAACCTTGAAGGCAACTGTGAATATAATTTTTTTTAGAATAGGAAAAACAGATCCAATTACTTATGGACTAACATTAGCAATGCAATATTTTAATATAAGACATATAGATCTTGATTTCTGGTCACAACAATTAAGTTTTTTATTTGTAGGACTTATGATAATATTTTCTATTCGTGGACTATTGATTCAATTATTAAAGGTAAAAAAAATATTAAATTTTATTAAATTTTTATATACTTCAAAAAAAGCAAGTATTAAATTCCATCTGTCTTGTTTATCTTTACAAAATAAAAATAAAAAAAAAAAAGTTTTTCAGAGCAGTATCAAATTCAGTATCACGTAACAATATAGTTCTTTTTCTGGCACAAATAATGGGAATGTATTTTCTAAGTTCGGTGCTAATGATGAGAATGTCGTTACCAGAAATCTACCGGAATATAATTTCATATGTGTTGGGATCTATAGAATTCAATTTTTATCATAGATGGTTTGATGTGATATTTCTTATTAGTGGATTGGCTAGTATGGTGTTCTTGTATTTTGTTCATCAAGCAAATAAAAGTAATGTAATGTTGATAAGTAACAATAATAATAACAATAACAACAATAATAATCTATCCTCACCATCATCAACATCCTCCTCGCCCACAACAACAAATTCTCCATCGTCTTCCCCGTCATCTATTTCAAGCATAGGTGGTGGGGGTGGGTTAACGTCATTATCATCTATAAATGATTATTCAAACAATGCCAACAGTGTTGATGTAAACGGAATCGGTGGAGTTGGAGGGATTAGTTCTTTAAATTCAATTATTAATAGAAGAAAAATGGGTGGAGAATGGTATCATGTTAATACAAGTGGAATTAATACAAGTGGAATTAGTAATTTTAATAGCAATAATTATAATAATTATTATAAACGAGATAAATAAATCGATGAATACATAACCATATTTAGAAAGATTACATGATTCAGCGATAATAATATTGATTTACCCAAAAAAAATATGCTTATTAGGGCAATCTTTCCAAATTTGGAAAATTTTAACTGCGTAAATTTTTTAGAATTGGCCAGCTGCGACAGAAACCTATAGTTCACATTCTTTATAACGATCCTTTTGTATTTGCCGAAAAAATCCGTCATAAATATGAGATAATTTAATTGGGTCCCAAATTTCCATCCCATTATGAAGCGGAAACCGTTATAGAGAAAGTGAAATGTATATATTCTTTAACCCGATTTTTACACAGGGATTTTTCCATTATGTCAAGGTTTTCACTAGATCTTGACATACATATTGTTAATTGTGTAAAATAGGCCTTGGGCATTGAATCGCACACAAATTTAAATTTTTGGATTTTTGTCACGGGAAATTTTTAACACCTTTCAAGCTATTATAACGAACCTTAGTATTTGTAGTACAAGTAAGTAGTTTAAAGTCTAGATACCCAGTGTTCATTTATTATTTTATCATTTATTATTGATATTAATATTAATCGTTTATTAATAAAAGATTTTTGACGCAGTCTTGATAAGTCAGTTCTCTCGATAAGTCATTCTTTAAATTAATACCCCGTGTAACCTTAAAGTTTTAACAGTAGGCCCATAATCATGTCAAAATAAGTAAATAATAAATAATACTTTACAAGTATTCAAATCATTATTAATGTCTTTATTCTGTTTTCAATTAACATTCTAAGTCGTAAAGTTTTTTATTATCCAAACTTCCAAAAAGTAAAATAGTGATGATGCCTACTCCCGTATTACAAATATCAAATGATACGCATTTATTTATTATTATATCCTAGTTACTTATCCGGGTTGAGATTTTGAATATAAAAAAAATTTTGACCAAGTTAGGCCAAACTGACTTACCAAGATAAACAATTTCGTCGTTTTGAATTTCCATATTAATATTAGCATGGGACAATCTTTATCGCCTAGGTTTGTTGTTTTTTCAAAGAAAGGAATTCCAATGTTAAATTTAATTAACGATTTAATTAATATTAACTCTATTTTTTACAATGGCCTTTACGCGTTTGATATATTATCGATCAACAACCTGCATATAATTCCATTTTTAATTTATCATCATTATATAAAATTTTCTTTATAAACGAGTTTTTCAATTTCTTTTTTTATTTTTTCGTTCCAAAAAAAGTTAATTTGTATTTAATAGAAACAAAATAATAGTAATCAATAGTAGTAGCAAATATGGAAATTACGAAAATTTTGCTCATTGTCATTATTTTAATTATAAGTATCAGTTTCACATCAGCAAATCCCTTCGACCGTAGGTATTTTTATTTAAATGTCATAAGATAAAGACGATGATAAGACAAGACAATATCTATAATAATGATAATACTTTTAAAAAACAATTAAACGTTTTGCTAACCTTCTACCGTACGTATCCCATCATACACCTTCTACTATCATTACATTCATTCATCATTTACCAATATAAAGCTAACGAGGTTCCCATAGAACAAAAATCAATTTGGTGTCAACAACAAAAAGCACAATGTGGATTGATTTGTGAAAGCAGTACGCCTAAAGGTATTCGTACGAATACTTGTGAACCGCGGGCACTTGTTTTCAGTTGTGTTTGTAACGATGGAAAACCACCAGATCCTACAAGTAAATGATAATAATGATAGTAATAATATCAACAATAATAGATCTAATACAAATATCTAATATTTATTATGTATAGAATACACGTTAATAATTCCATACTTTATGTGTACGTCTGATCAAGAGAAATGTAAGACAGCTTGTGGGCCAGCTAATCAAAAGTGTACAGATGGATGCGATATGCATTGTGCGGCAAATGTTACCACAACTGCTGAAGTTCAACCTTCAACCACTGGTAACAAAGATCCTACAGCTAGTCCAACTTCAACGCAAGTCAGTTTTAGCAGTGCAAACGAGCCTTTTATGATTAGTGTACAACATTATATAATAACTACAATACTTTTAATTATGTTATTTCTCAAATCCTTTTAATTCTTTGAAAATAGAAAATAAACAAAATTTCAATCGTTGTTACACGATATAAATGATAAATTTGGAGAAAAGCATAAACTTCTACAATAAATAATGTGGTAAGTTAAATAAATTTTTTAGCTTGGCACATCTATTTATAGTTAATAAATAAAAAAATAAACAATCAAATTAGCGTTTTGTACTCAAACTTGAAACACATTGAATATTTAAGCTACATATGGTATGAATTAATATTAATGTGTTTGTTATTTTCGTATTTTATATTAATATTGTCATATATACATTCGAATTAATTTGGCAAACTAAGAAGAATATCTATATAATTAGCCAATCAAAAGTTTTTCTAAAAATCCCATAAGTTGTAACACAGTCGGTATATAAGCTATACAAGCCCAATATTGACGCCTCAAATTTATGAGTAAGGATAATATAGGATTTGGGTGATACCTTATCCACCATATATATACCGCATGTATGTATATGTGATATTCACCTAATATTTGGCGGGATGAGAGACTGGCCTTGATCAGAGTTTCACGACTCTGGTCATGTTAGCCGGTCTCCCGTTTTTGGGTTTTCATTTGCCATTCATTGCCATTTAAAGTATATTTATCAAAATTTGATTTATTATTATTGGTTCTTTAAATAATTAAATAATACATTTCATAATAGTGACAAAATAATAAAACGAGTATTTCCCTATTGGAATTTTATATACAATTTAATCCTTTGCCGGCCATAAATTTAAATTAATAAAATCATCAACAATTTCTTGAAGTTTTACATCTGTAACTTCCGGAATCTCATAATTAAATCCGGTCTCATTGACAATTTTCTTGCCATCAACTGACAAAGAATTATTATATAAAAGTTCTTTGTCTAGATAAGGACTAAGTGGGGTATTTCTGATTTTATTGTTCTTTAATAGTTCAGACCAAGGCCGCATATGTTTTTCATTACTTTCTTCAACAGCATTATCAAGATTTGTCTGAAAGAAGGAAGTTTAAATATTAATAAAAAACATATATAAATTATTAACATTGATAGTAAATAGTAATAACAATAACAACCTGCGCAATTCTTGAAGTCAAGGTTCCATAAAAACCAGTTTGAATATTGAACATAATACTAATTAGCTTATTAATTTTTTCTTGATCTAATGGTAACAAAAAAATTATTATATAAACACACGCGCATATAATATTCCACAATATAAGATGGTTATATAATTATAGATACTAACCAGTGTTGCCCATATCAGCCAAATTATAAATTAGAGTTCCTTTACCGGCTTTTTCATTAGCTTGATACCATTCAGCAATATGCCACATAGCACGAGAAACATCAAGCACATGAACTGTATTGATTTTCAAATCTTTACTCCATAAAAATTTCATTTCTTCATTTAAATACTGATAGATTCTACCACATACAAGACGAGATGCTTTTTAATGTCATGTATATAAAAAATATATATTTACATGAATATAATTAATTAATTAAATTTTTTTTTTTTTGTAAATTTGACATATAAAAGTTTTTTTTGTTAGATTAAAAGAAAATATAATTTACTTATTCCCATTGTTGCACCGGGTCCATAAACTATAGCAGGTCGTAAAATTACAAGATTAAGACTAATATCAAAAATAATTGATTAAATATGCAAAAATTAAATCATAAATATGATGATGATGACGATGACGATACCCTTCAATTTTTTTTAATTCTTCTTCAGCTTTATGTTTATATTTTGCAATAGCTGTCCATGGTTTTATTTTTTCATCTTCTTTGCTTGGATTCTTTTAATCATTAAATAAATGATTAAACACATATAATTATATAATCATATTCTTATACATACATACATACATATATATATATGTATGATACATACTTTGTCACCATGATAAATTTCAGCAGTTGAAACTTCTACAAAAACTTTAACTTGACACTTGGCAGCTTCTTTTGCATTACGAACTGATAAATTAAAAATACGCTCTTCATAAATCTAAAATATATATAAATGGAAAAATATGTGTATATTTGGATGCATCGATTAATTTAATCATAATTAGAAATTTTTTATTTACTCGTTCATTTTGTGAATATTTTGTTTCAGCTGCTAAATTGAACACATAATCATATGAACTCCCATCCTTTCGTTTAAATATAGATTCGATGATCGCTATATATGGTAAATATTTATTAAAAAATAAATAAATAAATGAATCAACCAATCAAAATCAACATACTAGGATTAGCCAAATTCCTTTGTAAGACTTCAACTTTTTGATACGCCTCTTCCTGTTTAGTGTTTAAACCAGCAGTTTCTGTCAAGACTTTATCGACGACTCTTATCTCGGAAGCAAGTTCATTCTCAACCAAATATGTGATAAAATTTCTACCAATGAAACCTAATCCACCAAGAACAAGTATACTTGGTTTAGAAGATTCAGAAGTCATATTTTTTTCCTCGATAATAAATTTATAAAGTATTTGTATATAAAAGTAAAGGAATGTATGAGTTGGGTGAATAATGAAAACTAGACCAAAATTTATTTTACTGCTACCTCTTTGTAGTAGAAATGCAAATAGAAAAATAAGAGAAAAAATATAAAAAAAAAATAAATTTTTTTTTAAAAAAAAAGAGGAGACATTATGTAATAATGTTCTCGTGTAACGATAAATGAAGATAGCGTTTAGTATTGGTGGAGTGAAAGAAAGTGAGTGATTCCTTTACTTCCGGAATTAAAAAAATCGAAATTTAGTTGTTTTTTTTTACGAGTTTTAAAGACTTATAATATTAATATCGTTACCAATCAGTGATTATTATTTACCAATAAACCTGAAACATACAAATAAACAGTTCCAATCAAAACGAATTTAAAACTTAATAAAGTAATTATAAAAATAATATAATGATTAAACATCTCGAATCAATTGATTTGTTTTTGTTTCTTACACAAACAATTTCCGCACCTCTCCGTTTATAAAGTGATAATAACAATATATAGTAATATATAATAATAACATGAGCATCATGTTCTTAAATTGATTGAAATAATAATATTTTTCTCAATAATATAATAAATAATATTTTGAATAATGCTGTATTAAGATTATTGCATCAGCCAGCTGATTCTTTCCCTCTACGTAAGAATAATTTAAGTGTCATAATCGAATAAAATTTATTTATAAATAAACAAATAAAATTTTTTTTTAATTTTCTTAATTTTCTTTTTTTCTTCGTTTTAAATTAAATTTTAAACATATATTTATATCTATAACTATAATCTAATAATACATAAAACCAATAATACATTACAATATAAAAAGTGTAAAGGAAGGTCAGTTATATAATAATAAAATAAATAAATATAAATAATATAAAAGATGTGTAAGTATTGGTTGAGTTTTGCATTTTGAAGTTTTATATTTTTCAAAAAAAAAAAAAACAAATATTAACTATTCTTTATTTTTCTTTCCCTCTCTTATTCATAATATTCAGTCAAAACGCTTAGACTCCGTAAAAATTCCAAAAAAGTATCAAACAACGTAATAGGAGTATTTAAATTTGAAAATAAGAAAAAAAGCAATATTGATGTTAAAGATAGAGAAATTGGCGAGATTATAGATTCAAATGCTTCTCTACCACAAATTCCAGATATTATAGAAGATTTCAAAAAAGAAACCAGCGATGAATTTGATCAAATTCTACATAAATATTTATAATATAAAATGTATATATATTTAATTTGATTGGTCGATTGATTAATTAATATATAAGAATTTAGAAAAAAAAAAAGGGATATATATATATATATATATATATTAGATTATTTATCTTGGAAAAAATTAGAAAAAAAATTCTTTAGGAATTCATATAAGTGAACGTATTGTCACAAAATAATTTCGGGTTTATAAACTAAACATGAATGTATAAATGTGATTATTTAATATTAGTATTAATGTGTAAAATTCATTGTTTATTATTATTATTATTATTATTATTATTATTATTATTATTATTATTATTATTATTATTTTAATTATATATAAAAATATTAGATAAATGCAACTACACCTCCCTCACTGCTTTGTTGTTACCTCTCAGCTTGATAAATATTACACATTCAAGATACTAAAACATGTTTTAAATCTTTTTTAATAATATTGTATTAGAAGTTCTGTGTAAATAGGCATAGGCTTACTTAATTCGCATCAGAAACAGTGTGATCAACCATTTTTCATTGACCTTTTTTCCGAGTTTTAATTTCAACATGAAGAAAATTGAAGATAAATAATAAATTTTATTTCTTGATGATGTCATGATGGGTGTGAAGATCTTGATGAAAATAAGATGAAAAGATAATATGTGCTGACAATACAAAGATACAAGAAAAATTAGAGTATTGATAAATGATGTAAGAAAATTAATGCATTAAAGTAAAAATAAAACGTCCATGCTTGGTTCATGGAACTTGCATATTATTAATGCTCTGTTTGGACAGGTTACCTGCTTCATCGAAAATTTTGTAAATATAGAATGATCTGCAAAAATATCCTCCGCATCTGTCACGTGATAAACACAAAATTTTTTGAAAAATATCTCACACGAAGCGTCATTTTGTTTTTTTTAAAGTTTTGGGTGATTTCAAGTTTTTAAAATAGTTTTGGAGTTTAAAAACAGTTTTGAAGTTTCGAATTATTTTTATTTGAATTAAAGTTCAATCATCTGATGTAATTGAATACCAAAATTAATATGAATAGTTGGAATGATTCGAATAATTCTTGTTTTTAATAACCTAAAAAACTTTTTATATATGAAAACCCAAGAGTAACCTTTATTCTTAAAAAAAAAAATTTTTTTTGTATATATATGTTCTTTGACATTTGTTTCATAACGCAAAATAAAAATATTATTTATAGTACTAAAGTATAGTACTATTTTTTTATACAAGCGTCAATTAGCAAAATTTGTGTCATTTTTACTCCACAGATCCATCTTTAAATTTCACTCAGACGGATCGTCAAACATCAATATCAAATTGTTATGCGCGGGATTTTTTCATTGTTATTCCAAAATTCCCACAAAAATTTGATACGTGAATGAAACTAATGAGACTCCAAATCTGCGTGAGATTATCATCTTTGTGGCACAAAATCAATTTATATATTTCCATTTAACGTGTCATAGAAGATATGTATTAATATATACAATAATGTTGTAATAGGAAAAAACAAAAATGACTGACGAAAAAAGATGTAAACGACCTTGTATATAAATTTATTAATTTTTATAATCTATATTATTTTTTTGTTGTCATTATATATTTTATGTTTTTAATTATTATTTTTATTAATAGTTTCTTGAAGATTGGCGTCAATTATGTAGAAATTATAAAGAAACTTTCTAAATAACAGGAAACGGTACAATTAGAGCAAATAATGAAAGTTTTGAAAAAGTCGATAAGTTTTTAAAACGGTGTGAATCTGTTTTAAGAGCTGAAAATCTTTGTGTTGGTGAATATAAAATGGAAAAGTCGAAAGGAAAAGGTGATATTAAACAAGTTAATTATAATAAGCAAGAATAATCGGTCTAGCACATCAACTTTATGTACGAGCATGTAATGCACTTAAAATTCAACTAGACACAGATTATGTTAATGGATCTATTATTGATAATGATAATAATAATAATAATAATGTTTAATATTATTTGTCTATAATTTTTTGTTGTATTAGAAAATAAAAAAACTAAAATTGAAAATAAATATAAAAACTCACGAATAAATTTAATATGATTTTAATTTAATTCAAAACTACAATAAATAAACCGTTTTCTTCTTTTATCTGCTATAAAAAATAACCACGGGATTAGCAAAAATACTATTGTTGATATTTTGCAATATAAAAGAATGAATTGTATGATGGTAATTTTTCTTTCTTAAATATCACATTTGCTAATTGATTTAAAGTAAAAAAACTATTTTTGCGTGAAAAAAAAATAAAAAAAAAAATTTTTTTTATCAAATAGTAATAGCATAATTATAGATGGGCGTCTAAATTGTTTTTGGGGTCAAAATAGTATTTAGACAAAATGTCTAAATTAATATAAATAGTAATGATTTGCTTTAAATACAACTAAAAGTCACGTGTATATACACAAAATCCACAAAGTTCAGTAAATTATCCAATAAAAAATTCAATTTCAGCACGACGCCAAGTCGCTCCAAACGAATACCATTCTATGGTAAAACGGGGGGTGTGCATTGTAAATAATTTAAATTTTATATGTATTGTATATTTTAATCAATTTTAAATTAATAAATGTCACGTCGTTAAAAAAAAAAAAAAAAATTCAATTTCAGCATTTTAGACAATTGAGACCATGATTGTCTAAATGTCTAAATTAATTTATTATTATATTTTAGACATTGTCTAAATAATTTAGTTTAGACACCCATCTATAAACATAATACATCGCATACATAGATAAACAGACACAAATGGTTGGACATGGTGTCCGACTTATCAAAATATGTAATTTTACAAAAAAAAAAAAAAAAAATAAGAAAATAATGTTTTAATAAAACAGATAGAAAATAAAACAAAAAATTCTATTAATTTTCCATTTTAAATCATTTAATCCTGAAACAAATGAACTATTTACTTGTATATCATTATTCTGTTGCAAGTAATTATATAGATTTTGAATGCGATTTTATTAGGTATTGGTGGGTTAATATTTTTTTCTTCTTCTTCTTCTTCTTCGGGTGCTTATTGAACTGTTGCAATAATTTCGTCATCATCAAGCATTTCAGTTCCTAAATCAATGTAACTTCTTGCTGTAATAATATTATCATCATTATTAACATTGATTTGATCAATAAGTAATCTATTTCAGGATCAACTTCCATAGTAATAGGTCGGTCAACTTCATTATCAGGTAGAATACCGTTCCCATCCCTATCTATCATAACGAAATTTATTATTACAGTAATTTATTGATCATACATTACTAAAAATAGTAAAGATTATCTCTCAAGATTTACGAAAATCACGTGAACCGATTTATCGAGAGTCATTTATTATTATCTGGCTAGAGGAGTTGTCCGACTTATAGTTTAACAAGAGTTTATATATATGTCCGACTTATCAAGAAATTTTTTAAATATAAAAAAAGGGCTTGTCCGATTTAGGCCAAATCCAACTTATTGAGTTATCTATGTATAAATAAAAATAATTTTTCGGAATTTTTAAAAAATCTTTACCTCAAAATTGACTGCAATAGCAAGTTCTAATGACCTTCGTGATGTAAGTAAAAAATGCGTCACATGTTTAAATCTAGGTACCGTTTTAAATTAATTAATATCTTGTTGGGTTCCCTTTATTTTTTAAAACAACATCTACACTTTGTGGCATACTATCTATTAATCTATTGATTCTTTCCGGGATAGTATTAAACCATTCTTCTGCCTTGTTTTTTGGTTTTAGGTTTCTCATTCTAAGTCTTCTTTTTAAATCCTGTTATAAATTTTCAATAGGATTGAGGTCTGGACTTTGAGCGGACCATAATATGAGTTTCTTCCTTCCATTGACTGCTTTATGACATGGTTATAGATGGGTGTCTAAATAAATTATTTAGACAATGTCTAAAATATAAATTAATTTAGACATTTAAACAATCATGGTCTCAATTGTCTAAAATGCTGAAATTGAATTTTTTATTGGATAATTTACTGAACTTTGTGGATTTTG